ACCAGGGACGGAGCCAGGATTTCAATACTGGGGGGCCGAGAATTGGAATGATCAAATGAGGCGCTACATTTTTTTAAAAAAAAAAAAATTCCAAAGTGATACCACATAGCAGGCCGTACCAGAAGTCCAAAAGTTGAATAAAAAAATAAATTTGGGTTATTCATTTAATTATACATATGAGTTTATATTAAAAATAGGGGGTGCCATATAGTAATATATATGTATATAAAAAAAAATTAAAATTGTTGGGGGGCCGTGGCACCCGTAGGTCCCCCCTTGGCTCCGTCCTTGAGTTTAAGTACTAGTTTAAAAAAACATCAATGATCATAATCAAATTGATATTAATACAATAATAATAATAATTATTATTATTATTATTATTATTATCATTAATATGAAAATAATATTAAAAAATATAATATCATAATTTTATAACACTAAAATTAAAATAAAATGTTATTTATAGGTTTTTGGTAATGACACGTCTAAATTTCTATACTTAATAGAATTATCTATTATTATGAGAACAACTACCACTTCTGGCCTTAAGATTAACACACAAATAATTCTTGTATACATAGTAAAAATATGTACACCACAAGAAATTTTGAAATTACATACGACCAAAATCCGTGGGTAATCCACAAAATTCGTGAGTAACACTTTATTTTCGACGAATTACAGACGGAAAATAATTCGTTGATAAATTACTCGTCTGAAACATTTATTAACGGATTATAATCTGTGAGTATTATTGATAATATTTTTAAAAAAATTACTTCAAAATTGTATTAAATAACACCCTTATTTAGTGCAACATCCCTCATATCTAACCTTTTAACGGCTCCACTCCACGAATTTTCACGCAATTCCTTGTTGGTCAAAACCTTTCCTTCATGGGTAACCCTTTTTGAGATATTTGTCGGCTACAAGACTTTTCAGCATGCCTTGTCTTCACTCGCACAATTTTCTGGAAAACTTCCCAGAAAGTCATCCATCCCTAAATTACTCCATGTTAAGCACGTTTAACTGTGAAGTTCTTATGGAATAAGCTACCAAAGAGTAAATGCATCTTATTGATATAAGTAGTACAAATTAATTCATTTAAGTTATTCTCAACTATACAATCTCATACTTGTATAATCTCTAGATCCCTCTCATTCCAATGTATTTCAAAAGTTACAATATAATATAATACTATAATTTTATGTAAATTAAAAAAAATACTAGTATTTTAGTCTGTGTATTTCAAAAGTTACATTTTTATTATATATAATTAAAATTTATAATAAATTATATATAAAAATAAATATTATAGTTAAATTAATAAATCATATTTAAAATTTATATAAATATATATTAAATTAAAATTAGTAACTATTCTAATAATAATTAACTTCTATATATAAAACACATTTGTCTTTCTCGCGCCATAACGTTTTTAGAGACTTTTCTTTAACTAGAAGAATTTTATATATTTTTTAATTTTTTTATCTAATTTAT